AGCCTGTGTAGGACTATAACCAGTCCATCGATATATTGGGTTAGTCTGATATCTTTTCTTTCAGTTTATTCTGGCAGCCTAGTTGGTAATACATTTGAGACTTCCAATCCAAAGATTCTTGTCCATCCAAATACTATGACTGAGTACTATGACCTGAGTATCCATTTCTTTAGACTAGCCTTTACAGTAGGGCTATCAAAGATCTGGCTACCTCTCTACTTAGATCTTTCCAAATGGACTTCTTGTTACCTAATTTCAACAAATTTACACAACTACAAGGACTTATCTAATGTTTGCATTGCCTGATTTAACAAGTTACACAGATGTCCCATGACTTGCCAGTCATGCTGGTGTAACTATTATTATAGGTATTCTAACCCAATTGTTGATAACAGTTGCTGTAATACAAATATTACATAGGTGATTATCCAAATTTTCACCATTAATAGAATTTGAACACCCAATCTATTACTTGGAAAGTTAACAACCTGACCATTTTACTAGGTCATCACACTCTCTCTAGTAGGGTTTGTTTAAAAAGCACAATTTCTTCTGCAGTATAAAACTGTACTTTTTCATTATTTTTTAACACCACTTCTAGTGATGTTCATTTGCCTTTAGCCATATGAATTTTGGCTCCAATAAGGTCTTCACCCAGACTTGAAGCAAGAGCTGCAATTATATTATTGTTGAAGATGTTGTTTAAGCTTTGTATATTGATAATTAATACATTTATATTTTTTAAGTATATTTTCTGTTTAGATGGTGGTTTGCAAAAGTGGCTTTTTCATCTTTTAATTTGAAAAATAAATCAGACCATTATTTTGGCCTTACTCTTTTGTTTTCAATTTCTTCTTTGTTTGTTTTTATGTATCCTTAAGGTGTCATATTAGTGAAGCCAATTTCTGCAGCTCTGTGTGTCTCTTTGTTTTTTTTCTGTTATGTGTCTTTTGTTTTTTTCTGTCACATGTGTTTGATTTTTATTTTCTGGCATGTGTTGCACATGTTTTTAGTTGTTGTTATCTGTCATGTTCTGTACATGTTTTTTGACTTTCTCAATTTGTATTGTTTGTTGTTTTCTAGTCTTGCACTTTTGGTTGTTATTTGCATCTTGTTGACTGTTAGTTGTTCTAGTATAATTAAAGTATGTTTGGTTTTTCTTTTTTTCTGCTTCTAGTTCCTTTTTTATGTATAAAGCCCAGTTTGTAGAAGCTTCTTCTGTTGCTAAACAAGTGAGAATCTCAGTTCTGTTTTTGACTCTTGGAATATTATCTGCTTTTGTTGCTATAAAACTTTTTTTATTTTCTTTGTCTTCTTTATATTTGGTAAAACTAAAGGTTCTTTCTTTGACTATATTAAGTCTGACTTTCTTGTATTATAACTTGAATAAAGGTCTTTACTTCACTTGAGTTTTGAAAAGTAACTTTTAGTTTTGTAATAAAATTTTGTGTTTGCTATATTTCTAGTTATGAACTAAATAGAGTTTATCACTTACATTTTTTATTTTAAGTTAAAAGCCATTTTACATAACTTCATTAACAATAAGATATTAGAGAAAATTTTTGTCAAAGAAAATAAATCACAATTTTTCTAAATTCAATTAATAAGACTCTTTCTGCTAATCATCAAAAATTGCAAAAATTAGAAAAAAAAAATAAAAAGTAAAAGAAATAACTATCCTAGAAGAAGAATTTAAACAACAAATCAGTTTATTAAGGACCTGGTTTTGTTACAGCAACCAAACAAACAACAAATAGATAATTATATTCCAATATATGCTTTTAATGTTAGCTCAAATATATACACTATGAATAAACAAAATCGTAAAACAGATTCTGAACAAACAACAAACACTCAACAAAAAAAACATTGCTACAACCTTTTCAAGGCTTCTATACAACACCGGAACTTACAAAAAAGTAGACAATCTGGAAACTTCAATGCAATTAAGAAACTCAAAATAAGGGCTTAGAAAATACAAACAACAAACTGAATACAGATTATGTAACAATTAACCTGAATCAATAGATAATACAAACACAACAAAAGATAAGATAACAACTGACAAACAAGAGACTTATGAAGTTACACAAAGCTGTTCAAAGCACATAATACAATAATTAGATAACAACATCAAAAACCAATTTAATTATGGCACTAAATAATAGTAAAGAAATTAAAGATTTTATTTTATATAAACCAAATACACTACCAAATTTCTGTAGCAATTTTCTTAAACCAGCTTATCAAATAAAATTTGATAGCTTTTTTTAAAATGCAATCAACAAATACAAAATACAACACAAAGTTATCTTAACAAAAAAACAAACTAGAGATCAAATTTAGCTTAAACTTTGACAAAAATTAATTATTAAATATCTTACTAATCTAAACTTTAGAAATTAACAAAAAAAAAAAACACTTTTCTGTTCTTCATTAATTATAGGTGAAGAACAACTGATTTTATAAAAAACAATAAATTTTCAGAACTTAGTTACAAAATATGTAGCAAGGGCTAAAACCCTTGTACCTAGAAAATGAAAACAAGTTGGCACAATCATGTCAAATACTTCTGCAAGCAGTTTAAACAGGAAAGTCAAAAAGACCAGAACTTCGAACATAAAAATAGTTAAACTTTCCAACAATAAAGCAGGCAACAAAGAAAACTTAGAATATATCAAAGCTAGAGTTCCTCAAAACCAAATCAAATTAAATATTAGATTAATTTAAATTTAATCAAATCAAATATTTCCTTGATTTGATCAAATCAAATTCAAATATTTGATTTAAATATTTGATTTTCAAAAAAATTTAAAATTTTTGATTGATAAATAAAAAACTTAATTTACAAAAAAATTTATTATGTTACTCTATCTTGAGCTCTTAAGTAAAAGTGTTCATCTAAACAAAATACTCCAAGTTTCATAAAATAAAAAGGTTGATTATCTTAATAAAATTTCGAGTAAATGGCTTATAATTTTGAATATTCAATTATAAATATTCAAATCAAATCAAATATTTATCAAATCAAATCAAATTTGACCATATTTGAATTTGATTTGATTTGAAAATTTCAGATTTGAACCCAAATATTTGATCAAATCAAATCAAATCAAATCAAATTGTGGAACCCTAATTAAAGCTTCTCCAACTGAGGTCAAAAAAGAAGACAACAATACAAAACACAAAGATCTCAATACTGTATTCAAAGCTAAAGATGCGAAGTCTAAAATTGAAAATAAAGTAAATGCAAAAGCCATGCAAAAAGAAAATGTTTTGGTCACCTCATCTTACATGACTTGTCAAGATGCATTAAAACAAACAAAACACGTGACCAGTACCTGCCACATAAAGGAACACCAACCAAAACAAACTGATCATTTGACCAATACTGATCTTGAAACAGATTAAGTAACTGAACATGAAACAGATCACACTGATGTTCAAGTAAAACTCAAAGATACTTCTGCAAAACCTAGGCAGTGATTGGATCTTTTTGCAAAACTCGAAAGAAAAAACTCTTTCCAGTTCATTTCCAGAAATTAAGCAAAAACCAAAATTTCAACAAAAATTAATATATTTTCATTTCAGAACTCTTATGGAGCAAGGGCCCTTATCCCAAAGAAACACAAACCAATGTTTTTAAACATGAACAAGGCTTAATACAAAAAGCTCAGGCTTGACACAACAGCAGAAAAAACCTTTAACTTTACAAAAACTGAAAACAGTGAGAAAGAAACCCAAAAAGCAAGAAAAAACAGCAACAACTTTATTCAAGAAACCAACAACCTAACAGTTAACTATGCAATAGAAGGCACAGCTTGCTGGGCCAGCCAAGTAGTAGAAAATGAGTTTCTTGAAACAAATAAAGAAAACATTAGCTTTCTAAACCAAAACAAAGCACACAATAGTACCAAAAAGTCAACAAACCTACTTCAAGTAAACAACAAACAACAATGGAGTCACATGCCTTCTGACGATAATCTAAGACATGTGTCTGGTAGTAACACATCAAAACACACACAAGTTGATGAAAATACTGTCCAACCTCAGCAAAGTACCACAAACAACATGCCAACAACCTACAATAAGAAAGTTAACAACACAGAAGCTACTACTACAAAAAATGCCAAACCTAAACAATGGTCAGACCTTTTCACAAAGCTTAAAGAAGGAAAAGCAATCTACACAAACTTCACCCCTAGACAAAGAATTCATTCCAAAAACAACAATGTTCTAATCTTTGATATACAAAGTCTTAACAACATTACAACTAATGATATCATTACAGCATTAGCCTCAAGTATCGGAGAAGACTTTCTAGCAACCAAAATACATATGTTTAGAGGAAAAAGAGCTTTTTTGAAAGTAGTTTTCAAAAACAATGAAAAAGTCCAGTTTTATGCTGCAGAAGGAATTACACTCTTCAAAAAGTCACTTTTTGGATACATTCTAATAAACCTTAACTGTACCTTTCTTACAGTGAAACTGAGAAACATGCCTTTAGGTGAATCTAAGCATATCAGTAACCAAATTATAAAAGCCTTTCAAGATGTAAGGCAAATTGCATCAGTCAAACCTCTCCTTTTCGAAGAGACTAATATCTGCTCAGATCAATGGTTAATCACATTTGAAACCACAGATGATCCAGATGTAGCTAAAAGAATTCTAAGAAATACACATATTAACTATCACAAAGTTACTACTGAAAGAAAAGAAGCCCCTAAGGTCTGCTATTACTGTAACAAAGAAGGTCATATTAAAAGGGATTGCGAAGAACTCAAAATCTCAATAGAAACAAGACGTTTTCTTAAAGAAGCTAAAGAGCAAAGAGAAAAGGCCAAAGAACAAAAACTTGCAACACCAGAACTGGAATTTCATGCAGACAACCCATATATTGATAACTCAGCAGAATGGGCTCAAATAGAAAGACCTATAGAGGAATCAAATTTTCCACAATCCCAAACCTGTAATGAACATGTAACTCTAGACAACTTGTCTCAAAACTTTAACAATACTGCAACTTTCCCAACTGGCATGCACATCAAATCTTCAATCAAAAACCAACCCTTCAACTCAACTGAGAGTAAGGCAAATGCTGACTTAACCTTCAATCCAATTGCTATGAATACATCCTTAGAGTCAAATAAAGCAGAATTTATACTAATTACCTCTAAAAATAAAAGAAATAAGAGCAAAAAAAAGGATCAGAACAGAATGGCTGGTCCAAGCAAAAGCAAGGAGTTCCTCCAGTGAGGCAGCTCCAAGTTAGGTCACCCCTACTAAGAACTAACACACTTAGTGTAGCTATAAATACAAACTTCATTCTCATGATCAAAATCACTACACTGAATGTTAAAGGGCTTAATAACAAAGCCAAAGCACAAAAAACATTTATCTTACTTAAGTCATACAACTTAGATATAATTACAATTCAAGAAACCAATCTTAAAGACAAAGCTACAAGAAACTTTCTCTCACAACAATGGGGACTCAACTCCTTTTGGTTCTCTAAAACAGCAATTCTAGCTGGCAAAAAGAACATCAAACTTTCCAACTTTAAAGAATCTTTTGATGAAAGGGTAATTTCTGCTAATGCAGAAATAAAGCAACAATTATTTACAATTATGAATGTATATGCACCACCTAACCCTGAGGAAAGAGTCAGTTTTCTTAGAAAATGAACCCCAAGTTTGGAAATTACAAGTATTAACATCATTGCTAGAGACTTCAACACAAACATAAATCCTAATAAGAAAAGAATAGGTCAAGCTGCTGTTCAAAATGATTGCTCAAGAGAACTTCTTGAGAACCTAATGTTAGAATATACTGATATAGCAATAGCAACATCAGAAAACCCCTTTCTAACCTTCTACCAAACAACACATAGAAACCAAAAAATGGCCACCCATCTAGACTATATATTTATAGACTCTAATTATAGTCACCTTTGCCAAAACACATGTACTCGCTTTGGCAACTCAGACCATCTTCTAGTTAAAAGTGAACTTAGTTTTAAAACCTCCAGTAACTATAAATCCTCTTGGAAATTTAGCAGAAAATTTTGGAAAATCCCAAAAATCAAGTCAGACATTCTCAACAAGCTCCAAGAAATTAAAGATACCTCTAACTGAGATTTACACAAGTGCATAGTATAGTCAATAATCAGAGCCTATAGACCTCCACCTCCTCCTAAGAGAAACATCCAAAGAATTCATAAAAAATTATGCAATATAAACAACAAAGTGGCCAAAAACCCCAATCTGGAAGAGCTCAAACTAATTGCAGAAGACTTAAACTTAAAATTACAAGAAGAGATTAGTAGTTTATCAGAAAAATGGTGAATCAGATCAAATGCTAAATGGATCGAAAAAGGCAAGAAATCCACTAAATATTTTTTTTCTCTATACAAATCAAAACACTCTACAGCCTGTAGTAGTAAAATACAAATACCAAATAGTTCAAATAATATTTCACAAGAACAGGTACTAAACTACATTAAAGAAACATATCAGGAAATCTATAAAACAGAAGAAGTTGACAAAAAAGCCATAAACCAACTTACCAATAACCTAACACAAGTTTTATCAGAACATAACCAACTATTAACTAAACCAATAATAGAGGAAGAAATAGGATCAGTAATTGATAAATTACCAAACAACAAAGCACCAGGCTCAGACAGTCTCACTTATGAATTTTACAATAATACCAAGAAGCTCATACTGCCAATCTTAGCCAAGCTTTTTAATAGCATAATGGACAATGACAAAATTCTGACTTCCTGGAGCAAAAGTATGATTACTCTAATCCCTAAGAAATTGGATGACCTAACCAATATAAACAACTGGAGGCCAATCTCTCTTGTCAACTCAGATGCAAAAATCTTTATAAAAATTCTAGCCAACTGAATCAACCCTATCTGTAATGACATCATTGGACCATCTCAACAAGCCTTTATTGCTCATAGGTCAATAGCAGACACAGCACTTGACATAATTACAACTCTTAGAAATCAAAATGACCAGTCTAAGCAACACTGGATGCTACTATTAGATCAACAAAAAGCTTTCGACAGGGTCAACCATACCTTTATTCAACTTGTTCTTGAAAAAATGAACTTTAGCAACAAATTTATCAACATAGTAAGAGCCCTATTCAGCACTCAAAAAGCATATATCATAGACTCTGGTCTTATCTCTAAGCTATTTAGAGTAGAGCAAGGAGTCAGACAAGGAGACCCTCTCTCTCCATTATTATATATGCTTGCAATTAACCCACTAATACAAGCAATTAAACAAAACATCAAAGGCATACCAGTTAACAACAAGGAATTTAAAATTGCAGCTTATGCAGATAATCTTTCAATTGGCATTGGCTCTCCTTCTGACTGGTTCAAGTTACAAAAAATTCTTCTTTGCTATGAAAAAGCCTCCAATGCAAAAATTAACAAAATAAAATCAATTCTTATACCAATTACAGAAAATGCCCAAAGAATTGAACTCACTGGGCAATTAAACTTTAAACTAATAAATAACAGCCAAGAGACAATTACTATTCTAGGTTATACTGCAGATATATATAGAAACCCAGATAAATCTCTATAGGGTAACTTAACTAAAAAAATTAAATCCAAAATTCAAGACCTATCAAGAAGAAATCTATCCTTTAAAGGAAAATTCTCACAGCCAAAACATTAATCATATCCAAAATATGGTACTCAGCATATTTCCTACTACCATCAAGAAAACAGTTAAAGGAAATTAATAATTTAATAAAAGGCTGGATCAAAAATAATTCAAAAATGCTTCCGCAATACTCAACATTTCAAATGAGCTATGAACAAGGAGGTCTTGCAGCCCCAGTGCTAAAAGACATGTTAGATGCCAGACTCCTATCAATCTGGATTAAGCTATTATCAAGCCACACCTTCTGGGCCAAAACAGAAAGAAGACTAATATCCATCGAACTCTCAAACAAAAGAAATATTCAAGTTCATGAAGCACTCCAGCAAACTCCTTGCAAAACTAAAAGCTGGCCAGATAGATGGAAACTCTATGTTATAGCATGGTGTAGATTCAAGGGCAAAATCGTCACAAACACAATTTGGCCATGGGAAACATCTTCTATCAAAATAAATAATATAAATAGAGCTGAATTTACAGTCAAAAAAGCAATTAAAAGTCTCTACGAACAGTCTACTCTACAGCCAAATAGCACTCCAAGCAGCGAAGGCATGACCTCACCACCAAGCTGGCTTACTATTCCTGGAATCTTAAACAAGAAAAAAGATATTTTTTGGCGAATTGCTCATCATGCTTTACCTCTTGGCTACCGGCTTAAGCACATTGCTCATAACAATTTAGGAGACTGCCCAAACTGTCCCATGGTCTCTCAAACTATTGAACATTTTACACTAAAATGTCTACTAAGCAAAACGATCTGGGAAACTACATACAAATTTCTCAACTTTCCAGAAGAGGTACAACTACCTTCTTCACTTGAAAACATTCTACAGGCAACAAACATAAATAACACAAAAAACATAAAACTGCCTTATGGCTACATATCTCTACTATCTATGAAATCTGGTGTTGGTACACTCAAGCTAGATGGGGAGACAGAATAATCCCAATACAATCGATAGCAGATATAGTTAAAACCAGGCTCAATTACGAAGTTAACTTGCTTCATAAATTAGCCTATATACAGCCCCTCATAAAAAACAAAAAAATTAATACCATTCTTAGATATATTAAATCTCCAATGTAAATATAGTACTATTTTAATATATAAATAAAAAGCGTTTTTCAAAAAAAAAAAAAAAAAAAAAAAAAGCCTTTAAGAGCCTCTTTGACTAAAAAAAGGTTTTCTTTAAGGTTTTGTATTTCGATTTGGTCTAGTGATCAAGGCCAAGTGCTGCTAGCTGTAATTTGCCTTTAAAGTGGCCACAGGCTACTATGTATGGTTTCCATCTGTTGGTCATTCTTTGGTTTTGCATGGGTGTTGGAATAGGATATTTGCAATTGGAGTGCATCTTTTGCTTTGTAGACTTTGATATGTTATTTCTCTTTCTGTTTTAGCCTAAAAGGTGTTACTAGAAAAAAGCTTAATTAAAATAAAGATGAGTCTTATGTCTAACAAATCTTTTAGAATTGGGGCTGTTAGTCCACCTTGCTCATAGCTATGTTGAAACATGAAGTACTGTGGCAGCATTTTGGACTTATAATTTATCCAATTAATAATTGTTGTGTTAATTTCATTTAATTGTTTTTGGAAGAGTAGAAGAAGGTAGGCAAGATACCAGATTTTTGATATCAGCAGGATTTTGGTAACCAGAATTTTACCTTGGAAGGAAAGGTTTCTTTGTAACAAGTGCTGTATTTTGTTCTTAATCTTCTTGAGTATACTGGCTCATAATGTTTTGCAAGGTTCTCCTTTTGTGTTAATTGTGTATCCTAGAATAGTAATTGTGTTTTGGCTTTGTTCTATTGTTTTGTATTCTGATTGTTTATATTATTCCACTCTGTGTGCATTTTATGTAATAGGAAGAAGAATTGTTTTGGACTTGTTGATGAAAGCATTGGAGGCTCTTTCATATTTGTCTATAATTTTATTTAGTAAGATCCATTCTGATAAAGAGCCTATTTCTATAGATAAGTCATCAGCATAAGCTGTGATTTTGAAGTAGTGATTCCTACTGAAATACCTCTGATTTTCTGAGTAATTGAGCTTATTAAGGGGTTTATAGCTAGAAGATAAAGCAGTGAAGAAAGAGGATCACCCTGTTTAACTTCTCATTCTACTTTAAAGGAGGTGGAGACTCTTCCTTTATCAATTATGTGTGCCTTTTGTGTTGCAAATAAAGAGCTGATTACATTAGAGAATTTGTTGTTAAAGTTCATTTTTTTAAAAACTATTTGTATAAACTGGTAGTTAACTTTGTCAAAAGCTTTTTGCTAGTCCAACAAGAGAAGCAAATGTTGCTTAGATTGATCTGTTTGGTTTCTAAGAACTGTTAGAACATCTAGAGCTGAATCTGCTATATATCTTTTTGAGATAAAGACTTGTTGTTCTGGTCCAATTATAGAATCACATATTGGGTTTAGTCTATTTGCAAGAACATTCATGAATATTTTTGCATCAGCATTTATGAGTGAGATAGGTCTTCAGTTATTGACTTTAGTTAGATCATCTGCTTTCTTGGAAATTAGTGTTCCAGGAGTTAGGAATGTGTCTTTTATCAAGAACATCATTAAAGAGCCTTACTAGAACCAGGAGGATTAGATCTTTTGTATTCTTGTAGAACTTATTTATACATAAGTCCATCAG